GCCACCCATTTACACACACACACACTAACACACACACACACACACATACACACACGCACATGCACACACAAATTCACACCGTCGCCCCAGTCGCGGGCACTTTTTTTTTTCGCGAACACGCACAACCCCCCAAACTGCGCCACCCATTTACACAAACAAATACACACACACATAATCACATTCACACACACACACACAAACTGCGATGTTTTTTTTATTTATTTTTTTCAAAATTTGTTTTTTCTTTTTCTTTTTATTTTTTTTGCGCAAAACAAGCGGTTAGAGAATTTTTAAAAAAAGTGTTGCAAGCAAAAAAAATAAAAACAGGTGGTTTGGGGGGTTCGGGCGCAGGGGTGGGGGCGGGGTGCCAGGGGGGGCTACGGGAGGGTTTGGGTTATGAGGGGCCTGGAAACACACAAAACACTCGTCGTCTGAAAACAGAAACATCGCAAATGCCAAGACGTAATGATCGAAGCAAAACGCAAACCAATATAGCATGGATAATAAAAAAAATCAGACACATCGTGTCGAAGCCCCGCCAGTCTGTGAAAAGAATTACCAACCCGAAAATGCCGACGAACAAGCACACTAAAATACACTGGAAAGTTGCAATCTCCGAAGTAGCAAACTGGAGAAAATTGCCTACCGGAAAGTACACTATAATACAACATCACAAAACACTACGTCTGCGCAGAAAAGTACCCACCAAAAAGTAGACTATAATACAACCTCACGAGACACTACGTCTGTCATGGATAACAAAAAACTAAAGTACACTAAGAAAGTCACGAAAATGCAAGTCCGTAATCCGTCAACGATCGTCGTGTGCACGCGGATCTCGCTCGGACCGATGAGAAACTCCTCCGTGGGACCGACCCCTGCCACCTCCTCGATCTCTCTGACGCTGGCCGCCACGTCCGTCTGCGGAAGGCTCGGGAGCAACGGGAAGCTCGTCGGAATCGTCGTCCATAATGACTCTCCTGCCTTTCACCATCCAAATGGCTGCTGCTGCTAGGTCATCACGTCGGTGGGACTCGCGTGCCATAGGTAGATCGTCAGTCCCTGAAGTCTCCCCCTCCTGGCGTCGATCTAAGGGCACGTGTCGGGCCTGCCTCAATCGTGTAACAACATCAGGCTCCTCCAAAATAATCGACGCCTCTCTCAAACCGTACGTCCGCGGCGGATCTGCTGCGCTCGTTGTGGCACTGCCTGCGCCCTCACGTCTGCCGTCACCGTCGCCACCACTGCCACCGTCGCCACCCCCTCGACCGCCAAACCCTGCAGCTACAACATCTCGACGTCTCGCGGTCGTGGAAACCCCTCTCAAACCTGGCTGACGACCGGCGTTCGCCGTCATCACCCGTCTCGTCTCACTTCATGGTCGATCTGTGCGACCGAACAACATGGTGTCCAGCAACTCCCGCGCACGTTGGGTAGTGTCTCTCTGTCTACGGGCAACCGACCTCGGGGTGAGGCTGCCGCCCTCCCTCGGAGCTGCGCTCAAGGGTGACGAAGGGCCTGCGACACCTCCAGATGGCGCTGCGACCGAACCTCCAGAAGGTAAGTCCCCTGCGGCCCCGCCCGATGCCGCTGCGGCGGAACCTCCAGAAGGTAAGCCCCTTGCAGCCCCGCCCGATGGCGCTGCGATGGAACACCCAAAAGGTAAGCTGGGGCTGGCTGGCCCCCAAGATAAGTCCTGCATGTGAGGAAGCTTCCCCTCCTCGGGGACAGACCTCAAAACACGCTGGTCGATCTCTGTCAAATCCCTCCTGCTGTGGTCCTCCAACTCCTCAGCGGTCATAAAACCAAAAGGGAGGCTGCCTCGAGGTGTAGCCACATGCCTAATCTCCGGCCTCGTCCGTGACGACGCAAAAGTAGGGACCGGGGGTATGCATGCGCCCCTGCCTACACGTCGCTCCTCGACCGGGCCACCGCCATGTGCAGGACGCCTATAACCCTCCAAAAACGGTGCCTGATGTGGCCCCACTGGCCCCACAGCAGTGTGAACCACCAAAGTTTGTGGCGTGTCCTGTCCATCTGCGTCACGCCTGTCCACCTGTGTGGGGTCTCCCCCGCCAGACGTGGACATCGGATCGGCCACGGGCGGCACCTCCGACCCGTCAACACCAACGACCCCCGCTACGGCCCCGTCCCCCCCGGTGGTCGGCCCTATCCTCTCCGCCTGCGCTGATGGGCGAATATCATCAACGCTCACTGACTACCCCGTCTGTATGTCCTCCAGACCCGTGGACATATGCACGGCACCCTCAACTGAACCCGCGGGCAGAGGCACGCCCGCGACCTCCTGCAATGTCTCCTCTGGCCTCAACTGCACGGCAGGAGGCTGCGCTGGCTCCGAACGTGGCTCCTCTGTCGGTGCTAACCCGCTCTCGTGCGTCCTTTGCTGAACATCTACTCCCGTACTCGAAACTTCTGCCAAAGCCGCCTCCCGCTGCGTCGTGTCGTGAACCTCTGCAGGAGTATCCGTGTGGGCAGCTGGCCCCACGTCAACAGACACCGTCGTATATGTCCCCATCTGCCTCTGTCGGTCCTCAACCGCAAGACGGGCGAGCTCCTGCGTCCTGGGGTCCCTCTGTGCCATGAGGCATGCTTGACGACTCTCAAGCCTATCCAACCTCTCCTCAAATGTCTCTCGAGGAGGTGTGCGATCCTCGTCTCCCTTTGCCCCCGACATCACCTCTCCGCGCATGGCAGGGGAGAAACTGTTCGGGTCCAGGAAGCTGATCTGTCCCAATAAGGCCTGCATACCCACACTAATGTCCCCACGGGACTCGCTCTCTCCACGGGGAAGACCCACGCTCTCTCCCGGGGGCATACCCATATCGCCAAACTCACTGAAACCGCCTTCGCCGCCCATCAGTATCCCCTCAACCGCCGCATCAACCTCGGCACCGCCTCCAACTCCGGCTAGCGCACCACCATCTCCACCAACCAACCCCTATCTGTCTCCGTCGTCACCCTGCACCGGCATAGGACCGCCCTCCGATCTGTCCTCCAATCGCTGTCTCAGGCCCCTCACCAGTCTCTGCAATCGATCTGCACCGGCTGGCTGTCGATGAAGCTGCTCTGTCAAAGTGGGAAGAGCGGTGGATGATGCAGTGCCAGAGCGACCCAGAGGACGATGGCCAATCCCCGACTCAGCCCCCCTCGAAGGTGCAGATCCAGGATCTGTCTCCCGCTCAGCGGGAAGCGGGGCAGTGGACGTAGGCCTCGAACGCTCTAAAGGGCTCCCATGATGACCCCCAGACTCCTCTTCCAAATCAACTCGAAAGAAAAGGTCATCTCCGCCACTCCGTCTCCGGACGTCCTCTGGGTTGCTCCACTCATCACGCTCATCCGCCGCATGAGTGGCGCTAGCGGGGCCCGCCTGCTCGTCCTCGTCCTTGTGACCCTCGGAATCACTGTCGTCTCGAGGGTACGGGTGCAATATGGCTGCTCGAGTCCCAAAAACATCGCCCACATCACTCGGAGGAGCTCAAGATCCACATGGGTCTCGCTGCCATGAACGTCTCTGATCCTCAACCTCCTCCCACGTCCTGCTCTTGTTCGTCCCCTTCCACGAGGGGCGAGTCCCAATACCTCCCTCCACGTCCAACAACGACTCATCTAGAGTCCACGGCAGTGCGAACCCGCGGCCTGCCCGCTGATGAGAGAGAAGGCGGACGTTGGCTGAGATCTCAAGCAACTTCGCGACCTTCTCCAACTCAAGTCGGTTATGCTTCTTCAACTGTACACCCTCGTGGACGACCCAATTCCTCTCCGCAGGAGAGGAGCACGTCCACATATACATCACACAAAGAGCGATAACTTGCAACTGCGGGGCGCACTGCCCGTACCACGATCACCAACACCCAGACTCGTACGTCTCTACATCGCCCCTGCACCTGTGCGCATCTCTATCTCCATCTCTGCCCCCCCAAGCAATCGTCCCGCTCCGTGTGTGGAAGTCGCGCAACTGTGCACATGCGGTCTCGTAGTCGCGGCTCGCCACACTGAACCTTGTCTGCGACAAGATGTAAGTCTCCGCCTCCCTCACCAAACTCGCGTCGTAGTCGCTGACCACGCCCTCGAAGTACCGCAAGTCCCGCCGGCTGGGACATAGAAGGTGAGCAGCGGCGTGCACCGGCTCCAGCATGTGAGCGCATCGAGCCTGCACCCTCTGCACAATGTAGTGTGCAAGATCTGTCGGAAGTGCACAAACCTCCTCTGCTACCTGGCGTGCCAGATCCTGTGTCCACTCAACCACCCGCGACATGTGCAGCCCTCCGCGGTCCAACCTGCGCAGCAGGTCGTACACAGGCTCCATGATATGGAACAAGATGCCCATGGAATCCCACCAACTGCCATGTCGCACCTGCCACCTGACCCACCTAGCCAACTGACGAACGGAATGGTCCCAAGGGACCATGCCCAACTATCGCCATCCACTGTCCTCTCCAAAGCTGACCTCACTGCCAGCAAACGCTCCACCATCGTGAACACGGATGCGAAACGTGTCTCACAAGGATAGATGAGGCCCATCTGAGTGTTTTCCCCCCGGAAGATATGGAGAGCGGCGCCGTGCTCCTTAATGAAGCGCACCACCGCTCTCCCCCTCACGATGATGTCCTTGGACCACGGGCCCGAACAACCAATGTCTAACAACATCTTGTTGCGGACATGCACTGCGCATGGGAGCCACGTGATCCGTCGATGCTCCGGCCTCTGTTGGGGCCCCTGGAGCATGTTCGTCGCGGCGACGTACGTCAAGGCAGAGTCGGTGCAAATGGCGTTCACCCACTTAGGGGAGAGGTCATCGAACACCTTGATCCAGCGCGCCAACACATCAGGCGCCTGATCCCGCTCACCCTCCCTGTTCATTGTCCGGACGAGCATCACCCCACACGACCCGTCGGCAAGGAAGTTCACGATGGGTCTAGCATCGTGTGACTTCCTTCCGTCTGACATGATGGTGGCCCCCGTGACATAGAAAGGAGCCCTGACCTCCGCGAGATCAGCTCTCACATCGTCCGCCGTGTGGACAATGGTCTCTATGTCCGCGATCTCATTCTCTGAAGGCCACAACACCTTCACTGGCCCCGGCAAGTCCCTGAAGTGCCGGACGACGTCCAACCATGGCTCGCTCCGGAAGACGTTGAATGCCAGGCGCTGACTGTACACAAACCGCATCCACTTCTTTTTGAACTCCATCTGCCACTTTGAAGTGAATGACTCCGTGATCGTGTTTTGTCTCATCTCTTCTGTGTTGCGGCTGTTGCCGTCGGTCTGTCCCCCTCCTCTCTCTCCTTCCTCTTCCCCGCAGATGCACCCGCCTCTGTCGTATCCGCACCTGCCCGTGTACGAGCCGACACGTGCGCCGATGCAAAGTACTGGCCCTGCTGCCCCCCCGGCTCGCTGACAATGCCCTTCCCTCGCTCCCTCCCTGACGACCCCGCCCGTGCAACCTCCTCGACGTCGTTGTCCATGTCGATCTGCTCCCCCGCGTCCCTCATCTCTCCCTACCACCCCTCGTCCCGTCGCGGATCCATCGCAGGCGCCGCACCGTGAAGCTCCTCAAATCGCTGTACCCACTCTAGGAACTTGTCAGACATCTTGTACTCACTGTTATAGTGGATGTCGACAAGTGCCTCGTCTGTCACCTCCGGACATCCCTTGCCCTGGCGGAAATGGTGCGCCGCCACGAACTTGTTGCCCTGGAACTTGTGGCCGCAGAAAACGCACTTCAACATGCGATTGCCGCGGAATCTCTCGCCAAGAGTCTGTCCCACGCGGATGTACTTGTACACACAGCACTTCTTCTGCGCCTTCCAATTCTCGTCCTCCCCCCCATCCTCAAACACCCGAGATTGACTTCGCGGCATCGTGCCCGCTCGCGGACGGGTTCACCGAAGCGGTCCACCCCTTTCCTGTCCCGCGAATCTCCAACTCCCGCCAGTGTCCCTCCCCGCACCAGGCCTCGTCGGGCCCTCCCCCCACTTACCTCTCTGGTTTTCCCCCCCCCCCCCCCCCCCCCCCCCCCCCCCCCCCCCCCCCCCCCCCCCCCCCCCCCCCCCCCCCCCCCCCCCCCCCCCCCCCCCCCAACGGCCTCGAAACCCCGCACTCTGCTGCAAATGCGTCGCGGGCCGAGCACAAGCCCCCCTCCATCGCGCATTCAAAAAAAAAGAACGCGCGTTTAAAACGTTGAACGCGCGTTCAAAAAAATGGACGCGCGTTCAATTTTTAATCACACTGCGCGCCGGCGGAGTCGTCGTCTCGCGCCCGCTGCCTCGATGCGCCGTCGATGTCGCCGCGCGCCTCCACGTCGACGTCGCTCTCCACGCGCTGCTCTCTCTCTCTCTCTCTCTCTCTCTCTCTCTCTCTCTCTCTCTCTTTCTCTCTCTCTGTTTCTCTCTCTCTCTGTTTCTCTCTCTCTCTCTNTCTCTCTCTCTCTCTCTCTCTCTCTCTCTCTCTCTCTCTCTCTCTCTCTCTCTCTCTCTCTCTCTCTCTCGCTCGCTCGCTCGCTCGCTCGTGCGCTAGCTAAGGCGCAGGCCATGCAGTCTCTCTCTCTCTCTCTCTCTCTCTCTCTCTCTCTCTCTCTCTCTCTCTCTCGCGCGCGCGAGCACGTGCGTTCGTTCCCTCGTTCACAGTGCGTGTGCAGTACTTGTGGAAGTGAACGTGGGGAACGCTTGACGCGCACTGCACGACTGTGTCGCGTGCGAACGCTCCCCCCACTATATACTGCCCCGCGACGAAACGCGGGCCTTTTATTATTATTATTATTATTATTATTATTATTATTTTTATTTTTATTTTTTTCGGGACTACAACCTCCCAGCAGGCTCCCCTGAGCACCGGCGACCCTCCAGCGGCCTCAGAGGCACCCCCCAAGCCCCGACAGACCCCTGCGCAAACGCGTCAACTGCGTTCAGGGGCGTTCAGTGAACGCTCGTTCAAAGCGTTCAAAAACTTAACGCGGAACGCGCGGTAACATAGGTATGCGCAGTACATAGTGTGCCATTACTGCAACTGCTTGCGAACTCATGCATGACTAGTCGTTATGAGGAAGTCCGAGCCCGCACGACAATTTTATGATGTCTGGCGCGCGACATCCTTAAGATTTCAGTAACATTTGGTTATGGGTCAGACACCGAAGGAACTAGGCATTTTTGGTTTTAAGAGTATGTTACTTTTTTGTTTTTGGCGTTGTATGACGCTTGGCGAGTAGGACGCGTCCTAGCTCACCCCTTCCCCCCCCCCCCCCTCCTCCCCCTCCCCAGTGCTTCGATCCTTGTACGGGTTTGATGGAGACGTGGGACCGCGCGTATCCGCAATGCAATAACGTATGATCAACGCCCATCCACAGGGCATTATCTGCGATTGTAACATGAAGGCGTGGTTTAGGCAAGTGCAAGGAAAGGTCCGGCATTCCTGGATCCTAGAAGTGCGCCGGGATCCAAACTTGTCGGAAACAGAATCGAGAACGAACTGGTGTTCCTCGGTTGCAATGAATTGACTGTCGGACAAGTGTCATCACAAATGCAAAGCTATGAGTGGTTGCAGATAAAAAAGAACATGACTGAATGACCCTCAAGTGACCCCTATAAAACCCGATTAACTCCACCACCAAGGCGAGGTCGTGTGCTGGCACTGCAAGCCTCTGCAGTGCGCGCGACTTCGAAATTAGTGCGTTTTTCCAGGCGAAGGGCACGAACGACCACAACAGCGTCGCAAACCGTTATAGGTCGACGGGTTGCGACAAAAGAAAAATACCATGGCCGAGGTTACCATCACTAGTAAGTCCATGTCTGGTTGCAAAATAAAAATCATGGTTCGAGTTCTCTGAAGTGACCCCCTCTAAACCCCGATTAACTCTAGCGACAAGGCAAGCTTGTGTGCTGGCACTACAAGCTTTTAAAGCACGAACAACGATAAAAATTAGCGTGAGGTTGACACGAAAAACCAGAACAGCGCGGGAACCTTAAATCTTGTCTCCACCGACCGTACAAAAATGACCAGGGCTCTCCAAGACCCTTACACATCCCCCACAACCCCCCATTCTGTAAATCGACAAGGCACGCACGTGTGCTGGCAATGCTTACTTCTGCAATCCCAGCGACAGTCGTGCGTCAGTCGCACCCAGCTGATAGCGGATTCCACGAATACCTAGAACAAAGCGCGATCCTCAAAGTTCGTCGGGATCCGAACTTATCAACGATAAGGCTTCCATGATCGCAAACATTGTACTGCTAAGACGTCATCCGACATGCGTGGTAGGTTAAAAAATAACACGGGTATAGGCCCCTTCAACAACCCCCATGAACCCCGACGCAACAAGTTACAGCGACCCTCAAAACCCTAACATCCTGCGACTACATTGCTTGGGCAGTCGGATTTGCACAACCTTCCACTTACAGCCTACACATTACCGGACTAAGAAGAACATGGCTCTTGGACCCCTAAGAAAACTTCATAAACCCTCGATGAGGCTAGTGGTGAAGGCGAGCCAGGGTGAGGGCAATGCGAACATTCAAAATATAGAAGATGTGACATGAAGGCACGGTTTCGGCGGATGTAATGAACAATATGATGTAGATGGATCCTCTAAGTGTGTCTAGATCCGAACTTGTCAAAGGCAGATTTTGGAAGAAGGCAATTTCCCGCAAGTAGTGAGATTGTACCGTTGGTCTATTGTCTTTACAACTGCAAGTCCATGTCTGGTTGTAGAAATAAAAATCATGGTTCGAGGTCCCTCAAGAACCCCCCTATAAACCCCGATTAACTTCAGCGACAATGTGAGTTCGTGTGCTAGCACCACAAATCTTCGCAGTCCGGACAACGACAAAAAATAGCGCGAAATTGCAGGCGGTTGACACGAAAGACAAGAGCAACGCGGAACCTAAAATTATGTGCTCACCTACAGTACAAAAACGAGCAGGGCTCAAAGACCCTTACATCCCCCACAAACCCCCCTTCCGTGAATCGACAAGGCACACATGTGTGTTGGCATTGCGTACTTCTGCAGTCCTTGCGACGGTCGTGCGTCAACCGCGCCCAATTGATGGCGGATTCCTCGAATGCCCAGAACGAAGCGCGATCCTCAAAGTTGGTCGGGATCCGAACTTGTCAGTTGTCGGGGTCCAGCGATCGTGAACATTGTACTGTTGGGAGGTGATTCAACCATTGTGCGTGATTAGAAAAGAACATGGGTATAGGTCGCTTCAACAACTCCCACAAAACCCGATTCGACCACCCCTTGAACCCTAAGAACCCGCGGTTTTTCATGTTGGGGCAACTGGGTTCGCTTTGTTTCCCACTCCAAACGCACACGTTAGAGGAGTAAGGAGAACATGGTTGTTGGGCCCCTCGACAGACCCCACAAACCGCTGAAGGGGTTTTTTAACTACGAGAGCTCATTCGCTGGCGAGGATAAGATTTGCGTTAGTCTCCCGTGATCCGATTTTCGTCTCCTACTCCCCCTGCCAGACCAGGAAAACAACGGGTCTGTGGCACTGAGCTGACAACTGTGGATGAGGAAGTTCGGATTCCCACGAAGTTTGGTTGATATGGGAGTGAGGACAAGATTGGTGGGCGGGGTTTAGGGTTCGAGGATGGTCGTTTTCTTATTTTCTGCGAGTCGCCCACAACGACTGCCAGACCCTGTTGTTGCAGGAATGTGTTTTTGCGAAGCGACGGTCTCCGTGGAGCATGGGTAACCTGTGGTGATCGGGGCTCACAAGGGTCGGAGTGGAAATATATCGTCCTTCCTCTGAAACGTGGTTGGCAATAACAGCCACACCTTGAGGTTGCCGAATTAGGGTCTTGCGAAGTGATCGATTTCGCGGAACATTGTACTGCTGAGACTGCCGGGATCCAAACTAATGAAATCAGGGTTCTCTGCAATTAAGGCAAACGACTTGTGTGGAAAGCGAGCAGCCATGTCACTAGCAGACGGTAGAGAGAGGACATAGCACGATGGTATAGTTAGCGACGTCGCAGGGAGGTTGCAACCTGCAATCCGTCCGATTTCGGACTCGCAGGAAACCTGTGTCCTGCGAGAACTGATTTTAGAGCCCTTCGTCTTTTGCGCGCCTCTCGAGTCGGTTGCCAATACCGCAAGTCTGTCGGGATCCGGACTTCTTTTTCATGACCTCGACCACCACAGTTGAACACTGAGGTCTCCGCCGCCGAAATGCGTCACGAACCCTAAATTCCATAGCCATGAATTACGGGGTGTTAGCCCGTGTCAGAGCCCTCTGGTGCAATGTGTGCGGCACACGTAAGGTTGCAATCGTGCAAGTCCGCCGGCATTCGAACATCGTGTGTTCATGAGAAGGCACACGTGCGAGATCGAAACCCGGAGGACTACAACTATCACCTCTTGGACATTTGTTCATGAGAAGGCACATGTGTCGCAATCGCGATCACACGCTTAACCGTGCCTTCTGCGCATTTTCGTGATCATCACTCGATCACGACCACACTGTAGTACACGTTAGTAGGCAACGGTTGCACGGAGGAGGAAGCTATGTTCGTTATTGAACAATGTCGTTGATGCGGAACAGGGTTCTCGTCAGGTAATGAAAAGCTCGCTGTGGACCACGCGGCTGACCAGAACCTCGTCTCCCATTGACGACACTGCACGCGTATACACCTGCGCTATGAAACACCCGCGGACGCGTCCGCGGGGTCGAGCTCGGATCGCGGACCCAAATGGGCCCGCATCCGCGGCCTACCTGGTCCACACCGCGGACCCAATTTTACACAAATTTTCCTGAATTAAATAATAGGTAAAAATATATATATATATACGGGGTTGTAGGGAATTTAGAGCCCTACAACCCTTTTTTTTTTTTTTTTGGACTTTATTTAGGATTTTTAAGAAATCAAAAACGAAATTCGATTTCAAGAAAAAAAAAAAAC